ATATATAGGTATTACATGATATGAATAAATACTCTTAATTTTTATATAATAAATTCCTACAAATTAAGCATGCATATAGATATTATATTGAGTGATCTGGATATAACAGGGGCATGGCGAGAATGTTATATTGCCGAGAAAATTGGAATAAAAAAGAATTGGTGTAATAATGAATTAGCAAAGTGGAAGAAACATATATATAAAAGAATAAATCACTTGCCCTTATAATAAAACTGCAAGGCATAAAATGACAAAATAAAACTAATAAAATTTTAAAAAATTTAAACCTTTTTCCATTTCAATACTATTAAAGGAAGGAACATATTGAGAACATGAATAAACATCAAGACAATGTCGTTCCATAAGGAAGTCACGTTATTTGTTTGCTAGTTAAAGTTAGCTTGAATAAGTTAATTTCTTCAATCAATATTGGGGGCCACTGAAAGATAATCTACACCTTTTTTGAGGGGGGAGGAGGGCATTGATTAAGTTAATTCATTTGCTGCACAAAAGGAAAAAAATTTAGTTTTATTTTAATTACCTATTTTGTGTTCCAAGTAGGATGCACAATTTTGTGCATTTCTAATTCTTTCCTAAAATAATTGTAAATTCAAAAGAATATTTGATTTAGACTCTTATAAATACAAAAATAGTGCTATTGGACGTGTCTTGGAAATAATGCGAGCCATTCAATTTTCGTTTTTAGACAGAAAAGTAGAAAATTTGATCATATCCTCTAGCCCCTCTTTTTGTCCATCATCAGAACTAAAAGTCTAAAAGAAGGGAAAAGGCAAAGAGGGAAATCAAGCAAGGGATTGACTAAACACAATTCCTCCCTCATTTTTATTATATGCATCAGAAAAATAAGATAAATGAATTAATCATGGCTATGATGGAAGGCATAAGGGACCAAAGCATTGAACGTTTAATCAGGGGTGGAGCTACACACCCGGCTACTGGTTTGGTCCGACCCAATAACTTTTGCTCAAACAGTATATTTATATTAAGAAATTTATTAAATATGTACAAATATTAAATTTAGTAACCAGTTATTAGCAATTGAAATTATCGCTCTAAAATTTAGAAACCTCAAAAGTTAAAATCATAGTTACACCTCTGCATTTTGATATATTGTACCCAATTCATTTAAAATTGACCAACAGTATAAAGTTGAATGCCATTTGCATGGGAACAAAATTTAATTTATAAAGCGCAACATGAGGAGAAAATTAAAAATTATTTGTCAAAAAAGTGAAGGAATATTGCAAGAAGTTTCATGAGCATATGTTTCTTGGAAGTTAATCAACAAACCAATCATGTGAAGGTGGTGTTGAAGCACGAGTATATGAAAAGTCATGTTACTTTTGGTACTCCTACCCATTGGGTAAACAGTGTATTTACTGCTGCTGCTTCTTTTTGTTTCATTTTCTATCAAAACACAATTTCTATATTGATTCAATACTTAAAGATTTACTTTCCCCTATGTTGATTAGCTCATTTTGGTTCCTTTTTAAACTTAATTAAATTCAGCGCTATCTAAGCTACTACAACCAATTACATTCATTAACTCCAATTAACTCTAGAATTATGTTATTGACTGTGTAAAGTACTTTATTTAACAGTATGGTAATTAATCTAGAATAAATGATGAGTTACATATTATAACAACTAACAAGTTAATGTAAAGAATGAAGCAATACCATGAAAGAAACTGCAAGGTTGCCGAAGTTCATAAAGTATAAATGGCAAACAGAACTTTTAATTAATTTTTCTTTCGTTGCTTTCCTTTTCTATTTTTAGTAAAATGGGAAATATGGTGAAATGAAGATGGATTTAATAATTTATGTACATTGAAAGTGTAATGATTTTTTATGTTATATATCAGTGTATTTTAATTTGTTGCAACACGTTATGTCTTTTGATTTTTAGGTGACTAATCTAGCTTATCATATATGAACAATTATCGTAATTATCTTTTTAGGTGACTTGATAATAGGATTTTTTTTTTACACTTTTAATGTATGTAAGTTACTGTAAATTTTAATGAAAATAACTTGGTAATAAAATGTGTGCCTGAAAGAACAATTAAGAATGAGATGAGCAAAATATGTACTACAATAATGCAAAGAGGGTAACATTTGTATGATAGAGAAGAGAACAAAGCAAAAGACAAAATGCAACGTCAGAGCAAGCTTCCTGCCCTTTAGCTATGGTTTTGATGGGTTGGACGACTAAACAAAGGATACCTTCTCATCCACAACCCCTCTCTCTCTCTCTCTCTCTTCTCTCTTCTCTCTTCTCTCTCTTGAAAGTTTCCTTTTATCTATAAAGAATCTTATAATTTTGCTTGGTTTCATTTGTTCTTATGTGTATGGCTTTTATTGAATTAATCTTGATAGCAGCTTTCACTCAGACCTTTGGTTTCTCTTTTTCCAATTCTTGAACAAGATAGGAGAGACTGTAAACTTAGCAGTTTACAGACTATTATTACTCTTTGCTTTCTATACTTTCTTTTCTTCTTTCCATCTTTCTTACACCTATATTCTTCTTCAGTCTTTTGTCTTCTTTTCACTTCTCTCTAGGGTTTGAGACATATATATATATATAGCAAAATATATACTACAAAGTAACTAGATTATCTCTTTTTTTAATGAAATGATTAAGGGTATGGTAGGAGATGATAGTATGTCAAATTTAACATCTGCATCTAATGAAGCAAGCATATCTTCAAGTAATAGAACTCATGAAATTGGTAGTGCTCTCTTCCCACACCACTCGCTTGCACCAACAAACACACAAACACAACCAGCTCCTACTAATAAGAAGAAGAGAAATCTACCAGGCAATCCAGGTACTAAAATACTATTTTGGTTGGCTTGGAATTCATCAATATATATTGGATTTAAGCTGTATATACTAAAAATATGAAAATTATTTTCATCATTTATTCTAGGTTACCATCACTGTCTATTAAATAAAATTATTTGCCATTACCTTTTAAGTGATCATCTGATTTACTTATATTTTCTTGAATTAGATCCAGAAGCAGAAGTGATAGCTTTGTCTCCAAAAAGTCTATTGGCAACAAATAGATTTGTATGTGAGATCTGTAACAAAGGATTTCAAAGAGATCAAAATCTTCAACTACACAGGAGAGGTCATAATTTGCCATGGAAACTAAAGCAAAGAACAAACAAAGAAGTGAAGAAGAAAGTATATGTGTGTCCAGAGCCTTCATGTGTACACCATCATCCCTCAAGGGCACTAGGGGATTTGACTGGGATTAAGAAGCATTTTTGTAGAAAACATGGTGAGAAGAAATGGAAGTGTGAGAAATGCTCAAAGAGATATGCAGTTCAGTCTGATTGGAAAGCTCATTCCAAGATTTGTGGTACTAGAGAGTATAGATGTGATTGTGGAACCCTTTTCTCTAGGTAAGCTAATTACAATAAATTCACCAACAAACATTCTCAAACCAATTCTACTATTAATTATACTAGTACTACTAAATAATTAGATTCTTCATCACTTTGTATACCAAAGTCAACCCTTGTTGCNATATATTGATAGTATAAATAATTTTTTATACTATTATAAAAGTAATTTAGCATGTTATATAGCAAGTTTTTACCATATTTTCAAATATTGTAACTAGTTTCACTGATAATAAAATTCATTAGGTAACTTGATAGTGTTAGAGTGTGTGTGGTACGTGTATAAACTTTTTTCAATTATGCTTCTTAATCAATTAGTCAGCTTACGTTTTAAGCTCAGATTCCAAGAATGCACACACTTAGCTAGTCAAAAAAGATTAAGACTCAATACTCCACATAAGAGAGAAAAGAAGACGTTTTGAATCAAAACTAGTTAGTAACAACAAAGTTCACGTGTGTAAGTTCATGTGTACGACTGAATAAATGAGACTGTCTCTGTGTGTGAGAGAGAGAAAGAGAAACGAGGGTCCATACTTTATTGTTTACCTCACTGCAAAAGCAATTTGTATCGAAAACTTCAGTGATTCCTATTGTACATATCTAATATGTCCAAAAGAAGAGAAAAAAGAAAGACAAAAAAGGGTTGACGAAATAGAGGGCATGCACTTTTATCAGTACTATACTCAAACCTATACTGCATTATTCATGTGTGATGGTTTCTTCTTTTTTGTTTGTTTGTTTGTATTTTTGTTTTTGAAAATGTTAATTTCTGCTTCTTTTTTTCTGTACAGGAGGGATAGCTTCATCACACATAGAGCTTTTTGTGATGCATTAGCAGAAGAAAGTGTAAGAACAATCACAACACCAACAAATCCTCTAATTTCCTCTTCTTCAAATTCCCATCACCTTAATCTCCATACCCTCCAAAACTTTCAACTCAAACAAGAACAACAACAACTTAGTAATTTCAACCTTCTTCCTCCGCACCCTTCGAACGAGCTTTCGTCTCAGTTATTCATTCATAACCCTACTAGTAGTAGCAGTAACAATATATTTGGAGCAGCGGCAGCAGCTCACATGAGTGCAACTGCATTACTACAAAAAGCAGCACAAATTGGGGTCACTTCTTCTTCTAATTCTAATTCTGCTGCTAGTTTTTTCAGTCCTACTACTACTACTACAACTGGCATGGCAAGTTGTGATTTAGCCTCACGTGAATATCATCAGTTTCAAAATATTAGTGCTAATAATAGTATTATGGCTCCCACTACTGGTAATTTTGTTGCTGGTCATAGCTTGGCATCTTATGGCGACGACAACAACAATAACAAAGGTGTTTTTGATCATTTTAGTGTCAACTCTGGGTTTATGGAACAAATCCATGACATGCAAAACATGATGGCTGCTGCTACTACTGCTTTGCCTTGTACTAATAATAATAATGTTGGTTTTGATGAGGGATTTGGTGGTGCAAATAATCCTTTGATAATGAGAGGTAAAGAAAATAATGAAGGATTGACAAGAGATTTCTTGGGACTTAGAGCATATCCACATCCTAGGGATTTTTTCAATAATAGTACTACTACTACAACTGGTCTTCATCATCAGATGGGTTCTTCCTCTTCTGCTGCTGCTTCATTTGACCATCATCAGCAGAATCAAAATCAATCACCCTGGCAAGATTAGTCTGCTTTTGAGTTTTAATTCCTTTAATTAATTAGAGAACAAAAATATGTTAATTTGTTGTTGTGGTTTTGTATTTAGTTTGAAGTCTTTTCGGAAGGGAGCTAAGCACCCTTCCTTAATTACGTACTCAGCTTTATTTATTATATACTCATCCTTTCAGTTATTCACTTCAATTTTCTTTTTCTTCTTCCTTTTTTTAAAATAAAAATAATGGAAGTACAGTATTCATCTGTTGCCATATTACAATTTTGAGACCTCAGTGCTGAAGTAAAGTACATATGTCAACCAACAGGTAACTTTGAATTGATTGGTCAAAAATCAAGATGAGTAGTATTTACAAGAATTTTTACTATAATTCAAAATGTCTCATATAATAATTAAAAAACGAAAAAAATAATCTTACATAACTTGTGTTTGTTATGCGAGATATACTGTAAAATTTTCTCTTAATTACTGAACAAGAAATATTACAGCATGCCTCATATAACAATAATTCCTTTGTCTCATTCTTTAAGAATAAACAAGAATACTGTCTTATGTGATTTCCAAGTATGTATATTTTGTTTCACAAAGTTTGAGAATAATGTTTGAGTTCACGTGAAGAATTAAATGCATGTTTTGATCATTACAATTCGAACTACATTATTGTTTTCTCTCTAGTTTAAATATATACTAAGATCCTGAAGAAAAGGTGTTGGATATAACTTTCTTTTACCTTTGGGTAAACTACTTTAACAACAAAAGCCCAAGATTCTGGGCAGAGTACCATGATTTTTTGGAATGTGATAGATATTGATGAATGTTCAAATCTGCAACTACTTGTGTCTCTTTCTTAAAAGAGTTTTAAGTTATATATATAAAAATAGAGGGTTAAATTAATGTCGAAATACCCCCATTTGGAATTTTGATTAGGATGGACAAATTTTGCTGGAGTTAATTTATTTAATTTTCTGATTCACAATATTTTCACGCATTACTTAACACTATGGGGAGATAAAATGCGATTGTACTCGTGAAGAATTTGATGTTTTATATTTCAGTACCAAACAAAAGGGTGATTAGTGTGGTATTCAATTTTCGCGTGCACTAGATTATCGAAGGACCTGGTTCTTCTATTTGTTCCTTACACTACATTTGCGGAATAAATAATTCAGAAAGTAAAGAATATAAGGACTTTTACGTGAAAAACACCTTGCTCAAAAGGTGAAAAAATCATGACCTATTACCCAGTAGGATTTTTTTCAAACACTTCACTACAACTTTAAGCCAACAACAAAGTTTACAAACTCTTGCAAAACTAAGGATTACCTCTAACTTCTAACGACCCGACCGGTCGTTTCGAGCATTTGTACTTCGTTCGGAGATTTGGGGGCATGAGTAGCTCCGTATGATGTATTATGACTTGTGTGAATCGTCGATTATGGTTTTAAGTATTCGAAATCGATTTGGAAGAATGATTTCATCGCTGAATCTTTAAGTTGGAAGAGTTGACCAAGTTTGACTTTTGTGTATTTGACCCTGCATCGGATTTTTGATGGTTTCGTTAGGTTCGGATGGTGATTTTGGATTTGAGCGTATGCCCGAATTTGCATTTGGATGTTTCTTTAAGGTTCTAGCGTTAATTGGCGAAAGTTGGCAATTTGGAGTTTTGGAATGTTCATAAGTTTGACCGGAAGTTGACTTTGGTGATATCGGGTTCGAATTCTTGTTCCGGGAGTTGGAATAGCTTCGTTATGTCATTTGAAACTTGTGTGCAAAATTTGTGATCATTCCGAGTTGATTTGATATGGTTCGGCACGAGTTTTGGAAGTTGAAAGTTCAAAAGTTTATTAAGTTTGATTTGAGGTACGATTCGCAGTTTATATGTTGTTTGATATGATTTGAAGCTTCGAATAAATTCGTATCATGTTTTAAGACTTGTTGGTATGATTGAATGGGGTCCCGAGGGGTTCGGGTGTGTTTTGGATCATTGGTTGAGAAACTAGTTAAGTAGGATTTGGAGTTTGACCATGGTCAATATCGGGTCAAGATGATCTCTTTTCGGTGTTTTTAGTGCGCGAGCATGTTCGTAGCGTATTTTATGATTGAAACGCATATATGGTTTGTGTCCGGGAGGTTCCGAATGAGTTTTGGGTGCTAAAACGAAAATTCTTCAGCTGCTAATTTTCTGGTGTAAAATAATTACGAAAATATCTTTTTTTTTAATCCCTTAAATTTCTAGACTTCATTTAAAACTTCAAAACATCATATCTCCCTCATTTTAAAGCCAAATTAGGTGGCATCAAAAGCGAGTTTCGGGATTGATTGGCACACGAAACGAGGCAAAACAGCTGGACAAAAAATATGTAATATCGAGGGTTTGTTCATTTGGTCATATTTTGAGTTGGGGGGGCTCGGATTTGGGAAATATTTTAGGCGATTTTCACCATATGAATTGGGGTAAGTATTCTCTACTCGATTTTGGTTATATTTCGTGAATCTATTTTCGTTTTTTGTAATTGAATTGTGAACTTTAAAGAGAAAATTGGGAGTTTTTGTCCAAAGTTTCATAGAGTGAATTTTTGAGTTTTGAACATCGATTCGGAGTCAGATTTGGGTGAACTAGTATGGTTGGACTCGTAATTGAATGGGTTATCGGATTTTGTAAGTTTCATCGAGTCCCAGGCGCGGGCCCGAGTTTGACTTTTTGGTCGATTTCTGGAATTTGATTAAAGATTCAACCTTTATCGATTGGGTTTGTTCCCTTGGCATTATTTGATGTATTTGAGTTACTTTTGGCTAGTTTCGAGCCATTCGGAGGTCGGTACGCGTGGGATGACATTTTGGAGCATCGTTTGGCTTGCTCAGTATTTGATTTGGCTTATTCGAGGTAAGTAACACTTATAAACTTGGTACGGAGGGTATGAAACTCTGAATTACGTGTTATGTGATTGATGTTGAGGTGACGCGCATGCTAGGTGACGGGTGTGTGAGAGTGCATCGTGTGAATTGTGATTTAGTCGATTCCATGGAAATGTGTAGTTACCCGATCTTATCTGTAACCATGAAATCACTACGTACTAGAACTTTTGAGCTGTGATTCATGCTAGAAACTATGTCTAGGCCACATGTTTATTCTGTTGGGACCCACCGAGGTCATTGCTGCTGTTGAATTATTTACTTACATTGCAATTACATACTCAGTCATACGCATTCATTTGCATATCATATCTCAGTCTCTGTCACCATTTATTGATACATCACATCATTATTTTGGGCTGATTTTCATGACATTGTGAGCCCGAGAGACTGAAGAGATTGATGACTGAGTGAGGCTGAGGGCTTGATGGTGAGGAGGTTTATGGGATAGGGCTGCACGCTGCAGAATGTTTTATTGATTTATGCCATGATTGGCTTGTTATAACGCTTGGGCTGAAGGAGCCCTTCCAGAGTCTGTACATATCCCCAGTGAGCGCAGGTACCTACTGCATGCGAGTGCCGAGTGATTGTGAGGACTGAGTAGCTGTGAGGATTGAGTGACTGTGAGGATTGAGTGGCTGGGAGGACTGAGTGAATTGATACTCTGAGAGTATGCATATGGTTTTATCACTAAGTTGCATCGCATTCGACATGCACACTTGATATACATGCATAGAGATATAATTTTCCTCACGTTGTATGGTATCACGTCATTCATGACTTCTTATACATATTGACATATAGGCATAGAGATGTATTTTTCTCATGCCATTTGAAAATGAAACATTTACCTGTTGAAAGATTTTGGGAAAAATCACAGTTTTACAAAACGTACTCATATTTTGGTGATTTCGGTAAAAGATTTGGATTTTCACCGATATACTTGGAAAGCAAGCCTATTTTTCTGGAACTGTTAACGAGCTGAGATTTTTATCTCTGAGCTACTTCTTTTATTACTTCCATTACATTGTTATGAACTGTTGTTGGCTATTAGTGTTGGACCCCGACCTGTGTTCCAGCTCGTCACTACTTTCAACCTAAGGTTAGATTTGTTACTTATTGAGTACATTGTGAGCCCGAGAGACTGGAGAGATTGATGACTGAGTGAGGCCGAGGGCCTGTTGTTGAGGATATTTATGGGATCGGACTGCACGTTGCAGCATGTTTTATTGATTTATGCCATGATCGGCTTGTTATAGCGCTTGGGCTGAAGGAGCCCCTCCAGAGTCTGTACATATCCCCAGTGAGTGCAGGTACCTACTGCGTGCAAGTGTCGAGTGCGAGTGCCGAGAGATTGGGAGGACTGAGTGACTGTGAGGACTGAGTGGCTGGGAGGACTGAGTGAATTGATACTCTGAGAGTATGTATATGGTTTTATCACTAAGTTGCATCGCATTCGACATGCACACTTGACATACAGGCATAGAGATGCAATTTTCCTCATGTTGTACGATATCACGTCATTCATGACTTCTTATACATATTGACATGTAGGCATAGAAATGCATTTTCCTCGTGCCATTTGAAAATGAAACATTTACCTGTTGAAAGATTTTGGGAAAAATCATAGTTTTACAAAACGTACTCATATTTTGGTGATTTCGGTAAAAGAATTGGGTTTTCACTGATATACTTGGAAAGCATGCCTATTTTTCTGGAACTGTGAATGAGCTGAGCTTTTTATCTCTCATCAACTTACTTCTATTATGTTGTTATGAACTGTTGGTGGCTATTGGTGTTGGACCCCGACCTGTGTTCCAGCTTGTCACTACTTTCAACCTAAGGTTAGGTTTGTTACTTATTGAGTACATAGGGTCGGTTGTACTCATACTACACTTCTGCACCTTGCGTGCAGATATTGGATATTGATGTTGCTGTGATCGACGGGAGCGGGATTTGAAGACGTACCTGCATTCCGGTTGTAGCTGCCTCTTGTTCATGGTGGCCTTAGATTTATAAAAATTTGTTTATGTACATTTCGAACAGATGATGTATTTATTTCATACCAGCTTTGTAGATTCTAATCTTAGAAGCTCATGATTTGTACTACCCATCCTTGAAAATTTCTTGTATAAAAACAGTTTTATTATCATTTCTTTTCTTAATAAATCTCATTTAAATTGGATAGTTGTTAATTGGCTTACCTGACGGGTTGGGTTAGGTGCCATCACGACTAGGTAGATTTTGGGTCGTGACATAACTCTTGTAGCAACCA